AACAATCCTGTCAGATCGTCCATCCTTTGAGTGAGAGTGTAACGTTACAGGTCGGCTGATCTGGTTTCGTGGTTAAAGTTAACCTTTTCGACATGTTTCCGCGATGTTGTTCTGGGGGTTTGGCAAAAGGAGAGTGGGCGGTGCTCTGGGTGGTGACTGAAGGCGGTGACTGTGTAGTTCTGACGTCAACTTTTTACGGAAGTCACAATGGTTCGTGAAAAATCACAGCTACTTTAAGCAGGCTGTGTGAATTTTACTGTGGACTGATTGTTTTGAAACCTATATGGTAGTTACATAGCACCTAGACCTCAGTTATCATGAAAAAAGCCAGGAAATTTCAGTTTTGACAATATGGGACCTTTAAATTAAATGCCATTATTTACTCACCTTCATGTCATTCCAAACCCATAAAACCTTTGTTCATCTTCAGAACGCAAATTAAGATGTTTTTGATGAAATCCGAGAGCTTTCTTACCCTGCATAGACCACAACGCAACTGGCAAGGCCCAGACAAGGTAGTAAGGACATTGAATACTTTTTGTGCACAAAGTCAAATAAAAGCTTCATAACATTAAGGTTGAACCACTGATGTTGCATGGACTATTTTAATGATGTCCTTAATCTTGAACGTGAATGTGTCAGTTCCATTGCTGTCTATGCAGGGCCAGAAAGCTCTCGGATTTCATCAAAAATATCTTAATTTGTGTTCTAAAGAGGAACAAAGTTCTTACAAGTTTGGAATGACATGAGGGGGAGTAATTAATGACAGAATTTTAGGGTGAACTAACCCTTTAACATAAATAATTATTGGATTATTGTCATCATCGAGAATTTTTATATCATGCATCCCTAGTTCTGTCATATTTTAAAATGTCCATATCAATCTAATGCACGTCTTTGTCTACTGCATGTGCATCAATGTTTTTCAGCATCTTACACCATGAGTTTTTTTCCTCTGTTATTTAAGTTGACATTTTCAACTAGATATTTATTTTATTTTATTTTATTTCAGTGGTGTTGTAAGTGCCATGCAGCATTTTTATATTATATTAAGGCAACGTGTCATGTTAAAAACTGTCCAACTTTTAGAATGCTTCAAATCCCTAATGGATATTTTCACCATGCGTAAAAAGGTGTTTCAGCCAAGGTGTCGTGGTTTTCTCTACAACTATGCAAAACCACTGCCACAATAACTTGGTCTCACACTAAAATGTTTACTGCGTCATTTGTCAGGTGTTCAGAGATGACATCTCAAAGCCATTGCAGATGGGACGAGCATCATCTGTGGAGCTTGCAGCAGTTTAGTGATCACAACCCCCCAAATCTGTCCTTGCCAACTCGCACAGATGTTTACCGAGCTGAAGCATGATGAGCCGGGCGCATGTGCGCTATCTCCTCAAAGACCCAGATAATCGAGTTAGGGCCTGTAAACACACAGCCGTGCTTTGTTGAAGAAGGCGAGGAAAACACACTGCGTTGGACTCTAAAGGAGACGGATGGAAATTCAATTTGTTCCTGTGCGTGAGATATTTGGAGAAGCACAGCAAGAGCAGGTGATAGCAAGCCAATTCTGCTCTTCCAAGACAATCCCTACACTCATCTGCTTCCCTTTTCCTGCCTTATCACCAACGGCGCAAGGCAAGGCAACACTAACGGGAGATGGACAGAACGCACCGTCCATCTCTCCCTCCGTCTTATCTGCGGGTTAGTGCTGCTCGGTGGGAGATAAAGCTGGTTCGCTCTGTGGCATGAGACAATTTCACAGCTGCCGAGACGCAGGCATCAGGAGAGGGTAGAGCGTTGGTGTGGCCAAGACTGTAGAGGTGTTTCGAAAGGCAATCTGACACAGTCTTTTAATGAATGCCAGTGAATGCACTGGCTGCCTCACCGTTCTTTCAATGACAAACCTAATTCTGGCTTCCGTTGCATAATAATCCAAGTACTCATTCTATAATTAGCTAATATCCTTTTAATCTGTTATTTTACAGAGAGATGTTAAATGAAAGCCTTTCAAATTACGTGCAGGTAGTATGTAAATTATGCAGAATTATACAAAATTTCATCCTAGTGATAAAAGTTTCAATTAATATCCCGCAGAAAGCAGTATTTATGTGGACAACCAAACCCAAGAGTCTCTTTGTCCACTACAGTCCAGATTGTAGTCTTGTTTTTAGTTAATGATATGCATTAACTTATTATGCTAATAGTATGCAGTGGGCCAAGATCAGTGTCTATATTTATAATGTTTCTATCTACTCATCTCTAGATATAGTTGAATCTATGCCAAAAGCAAAGGCATTTTTGCCTCATTTGGAAAAAAAAATCATGCAAGAGCTTCTCAAAAGACATGACGTTAACAAAAATGGGCAAATTTTGATACATATTTGATACACAAAACGAATCATGTTTTTTTTTTTTTTTTTTTTTTAACAGCAAGCATCCTTCTAGGAGACTGGGTCGTAATGTATGAGCAACTGTGATGACAGCACCTATTATGAGCCAAATCCATGACTGAAACTGCAACCGAGCATTCACAACAAATGCAAATTCATTTAAATACATAAATTGGCTTATTAATGTTGTCTCGGATTAATTTCTTTGAGTTTATGTCGCTTTCCTGACCCATTTAAAAGTGCCAGCTAGTTTGTGCCGAAACATCTCACTTGCTGAACTTTGCATGGCGTAATTTTCCACCGAATCTGTAGTCAGGCTTTATTAGGAGGTTGGTGCTTTTTGTTTCTGTACATTTGGGTTGCTCGCAAGCACTGATATGTGTGTGATTATAGGTGTCAGTATTGATCTAGCTTTTGCTTTGAAGGCACTTGCCTCTGGTTGAATTGGAGATTTGATGTCTTTGAAGTTAAAATTCTGCTGCCTGCAGAATCTGTCCTTCATATTGACCAGTAAGCTTATCGTAACCGAGCACAAGCCAGTGCTGATCACTGTATTAAGGCGTCATAATTTGGTTTTTAAAAATGCACAGGCTTTGATCGTGTTCCTCTAGGAAAAGGCTGACAGGGAACTTACCTAATTCAGTCAGCATGACTGAAAGAGATTGTCTTTTGAAGTTGGTAAGTGCTGCATGACCACCCAGATCTCTTTTTAAACACAGCATAGCACTTTTGATCAGAATGTGTATAACTGATGACTCTTTTAAATGCTGTAATATTTCAGATTGAACACTGCAGTGGCATGTAGTGACATTTTGCTTTCTACTTGTTGTCATTAAAGGGGTACATTTAAAGACACTGGACAATAAAATGCATAAAAATATTCTTTTTGAAGGAGCTTTTTTGATGCATTTTAATATAGCCATTTAAAAACATTTAAAAGCTTTTTATGTTCTAGTTATTTATTTATTTCACCATTTTTAATTTATGTTTATAAGTGAAGAAAATTCTCATTAAATGGATGAAATTCCTTTAAACACTCTTTCTTAAGAAAAAAAAGTAAGCATTTGGAGCAATTTAAATATTGTAAATATTTGAAAAAACTTATATCTGCCTCTGCCCAAACAAGCCATGTAGTGATATTTCTCTTGAAAATATGTATTAAACTTTTATTTAAACTATTTATTATAATATTTTTTTCCTTAAGTAATCATTTAATCAAGTATTATTTACTTTTTGCTGGATGCTTTTGCCATAAATGTTCACAAAAATGTAAACTTTGTTAAAATGGTATAAATGTTTAACAAAACCATATAAAACTGACACAAATGCAAAAACTTGTCTGAAAGCTTGACACATTCAATGATTTTTTTCCTTTTCTCTATTTGAAAGACTTTTATTTGTCATTGACCCAGGTAACGGTCTAATAAATGGAGGAATTTGCTTAATTCCGTTCAATTCATAGTCAATAAATCTTGGGAGGCTAAGAAAACACTCGCCTTAAAATACAGATGCTACTGAGGAGCGAATCATCTTTCATTAAACTAATTATATTAGTGCGTCTGCTACACAGGAAACAAGCTGTCAGTGTCGGCAGATAGTTCCTGTTTGAAGAACAATCAGCCGTTCTTTCTTTTATTAGTTCCTCTCCACATGCAAGAAGCCATCACATGATCAAACCGCACGCAGGTAACCAGAAAAAGTCAAATAATCTGAAACGATGCGTGCTTAGTCATACATCGCGTCTCTGCATGGCGAGAGGCATCCAATCAAATAGGTTGTTCAGTTCTAATGAAATTCACAGCAAGCCATCCAAATGCTGTCTCTCAGCAGAGCAATGTCCATTAATATCACATTATTTAATTTCCTCTTAGAAAAGCATAGCTATACAGTTCATACAATTGCTGGTAGTTGCTTTTGATCTACCGGATTACAAAAGGCAGTTCCTCAACATGAAGTTCTGTTTTCTTTGAAAAGATAATAAGCTCCGGAGGACAAAAAAAGAGAATGTATAAAAGGATGTGACACGGAGAATCACACGTAAGCAAGCTAGAAGTAATGAAAGAGCACTGTTTAGTGAAGAAATAAATGTTGCATATCTGAATATTTAATTTAGCCATGATTGCTCAAGGTTTTTCTAAAGTGTCCAGACTAAACAACTTCAAACACGTCTCAACTTGTCCTCCTTACAAAAACACCCAGAATTTTCCCTAAGCTGAAGAAAAAAGGAACATTTGAAGTTCAGTGTTTAGCTGTCTATAATTCCAAGCAGGAGATTCTAAGTGATATGAAAGCAGATGTTGATCAGAGCTGGAGCAGAACAGCGAAGACCCCCTGCTGAATGTGGAGACAGAGCTTCTCCTCAGGAGTACGTGACTTAACAGAGCATGTGGGTTTTTTCCAAATCAAGACTTTACTTCCCAGAATGTTACAGTACATCACTATAGTGAGCTGCATCACAGTCTTAAAATACTGATGTTTTTTAGGAGGTACAGATGCTTCAACATATTGTACTGAAATAAATGTGTATCCATGCAAGCAGCTGCCTATTATGAATATTCAATTATAGCCATATGAGGTTTCTTATTGAGACTTTTTTTTTTTTTGAAGGTCTGACGGTGCTGCAAAAGATCTTGGACACTGCTGCTGAGAAGACCTGGCAGGTAACATCCATAAACTTTGACACCCTGACAGAAGCAGCGTTCTTGAAAACCATCCAAGATCTGGATAATAAGAAGGAGTACAGGATCATTCTGGACTGTGAGCTGGAGAGACTCAACTCCATCTTAAACTTGGTGAATGCTTCATACGTTACTGTGATTAAGAACATGTTTAATTTTTTATATTGTGTGTATAGTGCATGTATTTTACTGTATGAACCCATAACCAGGTGGTTGGCCTGGACAAAATGTTCAAATTTTCTGCATGGATTTTGAGGGGAAATATGTGGAATGGATTGAAAAATGTGTTTGACTGAGCTGAAGTATTAAAGGGATGGTTCACCCAAAAATGAAAATCCTGTCATTAATTACTCACCCTCATGTCGTTCCAAACCCGTAAGACCTCCATTCATCTTCAGAACACAAATTAAGATATTTTTGATGGAATCTGACAGCTCTCTGACCCTCCCATAGACAGCAAGGGTACTACCACGATCAAGGTCCAGAAACATAGCAAGGCGATCGGTAAAATAATCCATGTGAAATCAGGTGTTCAACCGTAATATTACGAAGCTACAAGAATACTTTTTGTGCACAAAAGAAAAGAAAAAAAGACTTTATTCAACAATTCATCTCCTCCAAGTCACCCTAGCACCATTTTGGAGAGTATCCACTGAATGCAAACAGTGTTTGTTGTTCTGTGTCAGCCGCACCACACGGATACGTTTTCTACATTGTTTGTGCTTTGATTTGAACGAAAACAACGTATTTTTTCTTTTGCGCACAAAAAGTATTCTCGTAGCTTCGTAATATTACGGTTGAACCCCTGATGTCACATGGATTATTTTACCGATCTCCTTGCTATGTTTCTGGACGTTGATCATGGTAGTACCCTTGCTGTCTATGGGAGGGTCAGAGAGCTGTCAGATTCCATCAAAAATAGCTTAATTTGTGTTCCGAAGATGAACGGAGGTCTTATGGGTTTGGAACAACATGAGGGTGAGTAATTAATGACAGAATTTTCATTTTTGGGTGAACTAACCCTTTAAGCTAAGCATTCCAATAGTCATACATTGTTATTTCCAGGCCTACATTTACACATTATAATTTAAAATTATATAACAAATAATATAAAAAATTTGTTTAGCTAGATATTGGCAAGATATTTTTCTTTGTGAGGGCTTCTGTAAAGTAAAGTCCTCTCTCAAGCAAGCATGACCATCAATCTCTCCATTTGTATGCTTATTTACATTTTTCAAGTCTATGAATTCATTACCAACATACAAATTAAAATTCTTCCCACTAAAATACCCTTCACTAAAATAATATTAACTATTTATTTAGTAATCATAAGCAAATGTGAATGAAATTCATAGACCAAAAGGGTGGAAACTGTGGAGTTTGGTCTTAACAATTAGTACTGTAGCAAAATACTTAATCATTTTTAACATTTTAAAAAAACTTCATTCTTAACACGCACATAAAAAGTCTTGGTAACACTTAACTTAAATATAGCCTATATAAAATGCATTATAAAATTAGTTTTAATGCATTAATTATGCTTTATAATGGACCTTATAATGCATTGTATGATCTCATGAATAATTGTAACCACCTCTAATGCATTACAATTCTTATCTATTCATTGTTACACCTTTAGAAAGTATAATGCAATAAAACACATCACAAACAAACCTTCAAATATTATAATGCATTTTAACTTTGGCTACAATTATTTATAAAATTATATAATACATTATCATTATCATTATTAAATAACATTATCAATACCTTTTATAATGCATTGTACATAAAGCCTTTAAGTATAGTGTTACCTACGTCTTCTTAGTACAACACAAATTTATACTTCGTTAATCATTTATTTTATCTACAGTTTCCCCAGTTCATTTCTTAGTTTCTAAAGAGACTCCAAGTATTGTCAAAAATCTCTGTATTTATGTTTCATAAGTCACCGTGTATTCTCTTAACTTAGTAGCCTATAGACACTAAATAAGTTGCTCTGGGACATCTGCCTTCATTTTTAGAAATTTTATGTTGACTTCATTATGGAACATTACGTTTTCTTGGATTGCAGATAATTTCTCAGTACACTTTAAAGTTATGTTATGTCTTTCGCAGAATGATTTGAGAAACAATGAATTCCTCCTTCAGGCACACCAAGGCAATTACTTTTCTCACCATTCACCATCCAGACAAGATCTCAAAGAAACCACTGCCAAACCCAATGATCAAAAATCAGCATCCGATACAATTAACCCTGACGGTGTGCTTCGAGAGGCTTGCTGCTGTTCACAGGTGTTCCTGTGGTCTTCATGCACATGTAGTCATTAAGTCCTATAATTGGACTTCCTATGGTGACAGATGCCAAATCCTTCTTTCCTCCTTTCCATCTCGTGAAGTTACGACTGCCCCTTCTGATCACAGATATTCCACACTCAGTGAGCTTGGGAGGGTGTGCAGTTAAGTCCTGAATGATGGGACCTATTCATCGCTATTTAGAGAGCCAGGCTAAAAATTATACTTTAATTGACGTAGAATGAAAGAGGCTTGCCATTAGCTGCGGCGAAAGAGAGAGGGTTGTGCTTTTATACTGTCATGTGTGTTGCATTTGTCTTTCAGATTGCGTCACAAAAAAAGAACTTGAAGAACTACCATTACATACTAGCAAACCTGGTAAGTGAAGCATCCTGTATCCTTCAGCCCTCTTTGGTCTGCATGAATGAACTATGAGCCTTGAGGATACTTAAGATGTATTGTCGGTTAACCTCTTGAACATTGACTGAAATCGCAAGGGAACGCTCAGATAAATTGATAGTGGTGTTTTACATTGCATGGCTACTTTCCCCACCTTTTTTCTGGGTGACTGGGGAGTGTGCATGCTTTTAAATGCGACACACAATGCAGACCGATTGCAGATTACCCTCTGACAGAATTAGCATTTGTACCCTTTCTTGAAGGTATTAAGATGCCCTTTTTTGCATCCTTTTGAGTGGTGTTACGGCCAGCTCATTTTGGAACTGCAGAATAAAATATGGGTCTAACACCCTTGTTCAATCAAAACAAATTATTTTATTGTTGATTAACCAAATATAACAATGACCCCAAATAACAAACATGAGTATAGAGAAAAATAAGAACAAAAAGGAAAAAAAAACAAGTCTGTGAAGAGTGGGGCTTCCTGTGTAGTGAAAGATAATGAGGGACACCTGCGCCTCACACCGGTCTCGAGTCCTTCACTGTCGTCACTTCTCCTTTTATCCTAATCAGTTAGGTCTACTGGGTGAATTATTTGTCACTTTTTATTTATTTTATTTTATATTCTATTCTATTTTATTATTTTATTTTATATTTTTATTTTATTATTTTTATATTTTATTTTCATTGGCTTCCTATGCTCAGAAAACACTAATAATTCTGCACTTGTAGACTGTGACACAAGAAGCATTGTAAATTTAACTTTAGATATTATTTCGAATCAAATAAAAAATGTTCCATTTTATTTTTGAATTTATTTATTATTATTTGATTTTCACTCTTTGACCATACTTTTCAGATCTTCCCTATGGAACTTTATATGCCAGGGCTATGGTTCATTAGAATGTTTCATTAATATTTTAGTTTCTAATTTTCAGTTTTCTAGTTTCTATTTTTTCAGGATGGGTTTATTAACTTCATATTACAAAAGAATAGATATAATTGGCCGACTAAAGAAACTGTAATGCAGCACTGAACTGTGACTTCACAGGAAGCATTGTAAATGTATAATTGGGTTCTGTGATGGGTAGAAAAGAACATCCTCCAAACAAGGCTCCAAGTACATATTCCAATTCAGCGATGATGAAAAAAGATGTCATCCCATAACCAATTATGATGAAAGCAGCAAGGATGCAACACTTTGCATTATAGAGTCCCCTGGGGTCCATCGCCACATGGGTCGGTCACCCAGATAAGCAAACATACATGTAAACACGGATACAATTAGCTGTTATGACACAGATCCTGTGATATTTACCCAGCATGCATATCTGTGTATGTCTATGCATATCACTGTATCATTAGCTCTAACACTGACTCTCATGTAACATTTTATATTGACACATTATAATGACATTATAATTATACAACACATTATATTGTCAACTCTAACCATAACTGTGCCATAAAGCCTTGGTTTCTAATGGGTAGTTTTCCAAGATCTCGTCAAAGTGTTCTGACTTTGAGTATGGGTTTATATTGTGTTCTGTTTGACTGAATACTGTTTTCTTTTCAATTTAACTTATTGCTGCAATAGAAACTGTAATAGATTTTTTAACTCATTTTATTACCCTGAAAGCATTTCCTAACATAATTATGCTATTAAAAATGATTGCAATTGCTTTTCCTTTTTACATTAGAGTACACTAAGTCCTGAAACTTGTTAGGTTAAACATTGGTCTGTGTATCAATGCAGGATTGAAAGGTGTATGAATAAATGGAGATTTTGATGTGTTTGCCTTCAGGGATTTCTGGATCTTAATCTCACAGAATTCAGGAAGGCAGGTGCCAATGTGACAGGCTTCCAGCTCATGAACTACACAAACCCTACTGTCAGCAGGACAATACAAGACTGGCTGGAGTTTGACAGTAAAGACTTGAAAAGTCCCAAAAGGAGGCTCAAGGTAAAGCAAGGTCTTAGTCATAAAAACATGATTTTAAATGCTCTCATGATGGACTTAAAAAGGTGTGTGCCCTGCTGAAAATACCTTGAATTTCCATTTTGATCCTATCTGGTTAATGCATTTAAGAGGTGAATTAAATCTTGCTACTTAAACTAGCTACGAAACACATCAATGTATGCTGGTGACCCTCTATGCTGGTCTTTTCAGCAGGGCAAGTGAAAGCCAAAGATTGTGAATAAATTATTTTGTCCTTTTCCCCTTTTCATTTGGGATGTATCTGTGTAACATCTCAGTACACTGGAGCGCTCACATATGATGGGGTGACTGTCATGGCCACTGCCTTCCAAAACCTGAGGAAGCAGCGCATTGATATCTCTCGCAGGGGGAATGCAGGAGAGTGTTTGGCTAACCCTCCCGCACCCTGGGGCCAGGGCATTGACATTCAGAGAGCCCTACAGCAGGTAACCAGCCACTTTTTACACCATAAGAGTGCTGGTTCTCATGAGTCATGACAGAGCTGTTACTTTATCAGAAGAACTGAAGGCCTCAGAACTGGCTTGTATTTTTTAATGACTTGGAAGTCGAACGACGAAATAATGCGCTGTTACTATATAACCTACCCACAAACAAACATAGCACATCAGGGTCATCTTAACATCCAAAGTAATTTGATTCAGCCTCTTTATGCAATCACAAACTGCTTTTGTTTCATCCATTATCTGATGAAATTCTTAGCAATCATATAGATGTTGATCGTAAATACATTCAGACAAAGCTTCTGTGCAGCGCCGCATATACAGTGGGTACGGAAAGTATTCAGACCCCCTTAAATTTTTCACTCTTTGTTATATTGCAGCCATTTGCTAAAATCATTTAAGTTAATTTTTTTTCCTCATTAAGATGCTGATTAGTTGATTGGGCTTCGTAACTTCTTATTGGGCATTTCTTTTTTTAAATCAAGTTTCTGTTCATGACAAAAAGGGCTGTTGCAGAGCTAATTTTACCACCCAGAACTGGCTTTTCAGCTTTTAAAAATGTAATTTTTTCTTAGGGCTGCACAAGTTAGGGAAAAGGCTCATTGCAATTAATTTTTTAAAGCTTGAGGTTTACTTATACTCCAGGTTTAAGCTTCTCTTGAGTTGACAACAGCCGGTTTATAAGCACTTTTCATTACAAGTTGGGGAACAAAATTTGAGACACTGAAAACGCAGGATCATGAGCTGCTTGCGTGTAAAGGAACGCAGTGCTGCACTTAAGATGCAGTACATATATTTATTCAAATAAATAGCAGCCGTTGTGATAATCACACTAAGCCATAATGATTTCAGTTTTATTTTAATTAATCATGTAGCCCCAGCATAAGTATCATTTGGCTTCCTGTGCAAAAAAACGTAAATCAGGTTTCACACCTAGTGAAGTTCTGCATGAATGATGAAGATGAAATGATGAACAATCTGATTATGTGTGATTCTCTCTGTAGGTGCAGTTTGAAGGGCTTACAGGACATGTTCAGTTTAATGAAAAAGGGCATCGGACCAACTTCACCGTCAGCGTGATGGAATTTGGTCCAAACGGACCCAAGAAAGTAAATCGAATCATTTTCCCCTGCTTGCACACATATGGTGTCCATGCTTACCAGCGCATCCCAATAATCATACATTCTGACTTCTCACTTGAAATTTTAGAAAACAGATCACGCTTGACATTTTCCTGACATAAATTTGATTCGGAATGATTAACCTGAGGTTGTACCTGAAACTTTAACACTGGCTGGGATGAAAGCGAATGAAGTGTTAGTCACAGGCAGGCTTATAGAGCCGCGTATGCATTTCAAGTGATTACAGCTCCTCTTAAGCCGTCAATATGAATATTTAACATTCTAAAAATAGTGGCTCTGAAATTCCTGTGCACTGCTGTGATATTCCTCTCTTCTGCCTGCAGGTGGGCTACTGGAACCAACACGTGAAATACGTGAGCACAGCTACTTACAGCAACATGCTCAATGAGACGTTTGGACTGCAAAACAGGACCTATGTAGTCACCACCATCTTGGTGAGTTTTGCGATACAACTCGAGTTGTAATGGAAAGATAGTAGAATAATAGTTAGTTCTGCTTTTGTATTGTTTTTTAAAGCTATTTCTGTTCATCTGTTCTGGCAATGTGTCACATACAGTGTGAATTACAAATCATCAGTGTCATCAAGTTGAAATGGTGTGCATGTTTTTTGTGTGCGTGTGTATGCAGATAATGATCCTGAGATGTGTGTCATTAAGCTGAAGTGTGCTATTCTCACTAAACGGCATTTAAAAAAGTATGGTTCTGGTCAACCAAACGGATAGTTCCACTCTAAATTCATGCCATTGTTTGAGCCTATATTACTGTGTCAAGCTATGAATGGTTACCAGTAAAAATATAATAGGTTTTTGTGAGTTTAAAATAAAAATAAATCATATTATAGGATATATAGTCAAATATGTGAAATATGAAGTCTTATTACAAGATCTCAATGACCTTTTTAAGTATGAAACGGGCTTTAGTAATATTGAGAATGGACAAGAAAACTTTTATTTTTACATCAAAAAAATTACACAAACTTTATATACAGTAAGCTGACCAATGGCCCTCGGCCATTTTTGAACTATAGTTGAACGTCTCTCAGCTCAGTTCACTCTGATTGGCTGTTCAGCTTAGCCAACCAGTACACGAGAAGAGTAGCAAAAGTAATGAAATCGTGCAAACGGCAAAGCCAAGAATGAACACGGAGGCTGTTCTCATTTTACATCTGAGCATTCCAATATGTAAATATTTTTATAATGGCATGGCTGACTGGAATGTATAAAGTTAAGACCAACTGATAAGCATGATTCATATTCAAAATAGTAAGCAAGCCTGCTTTTCTTACAGTTTGTATATGTTGTATAGTTTTAGCTTCCCTTTTTGAATGACAAATATAGACTACTGCCACTTTTTGGTATAGATAGTTATTTCCTCTCTTGAAAACGCAGAACATACGTGCTAGTTGGCCATTGCCTGCAGTCTATGTGGTGTGTTCAAGCACATTTTTTGGCCTAGATGCAGGTGACACAAGGCGACAACACAGTGTGCTTGTTTCACCGTTTAGTTCTGTTGGTTTGGTGTATCATGGCCTGTACTTCGCTGCGCCTTCAGATCCAGTCACTCCCATTTTACTTAGTAGCCACAAACTTGCTAGAGCATACAATAAAGACATAAAAAAGCATGAGCAGTATTATTGTCACCATGTACATAGTGATATTTTGGTGTTCCTGGTAGATTATATCACTTGTTTTATGGAGAAAAAAAATGCAAATTCTAAAAAATTGTCACCACATGATCCCTCATTCAGAAGATTTTTGTTCCCTGCCTCTGGGGTGAATCACCATCCTCTCAGGAAGGTGAGAGGTAGTGTAAATCTTTTGAACCCTGCTGGGTTTACTGTTCTGCTCATTTCGGGCACAGTTTGTGGGCTGACTCAGAGTTTTGAGTGTCTATTAATCTTATTTCAGTGGAACTCCAAAAAGAAATACCCTCATTCCCTTAAGGATTCTTCTTTGACAGTGGTTAGCTGTACTATTGTACTATTGTGACAGCTGTACTATTGATTTGTCTTTTATAACAGACTACAGGACTGTAATATTATACCCACAGGTGTGTTTCCTCATACACACATTTCAATGTATTTCTCTTGTTTTTTGTTGAGTTTTTTTTTTTTCTCTTGATGTTGTGCTGTGTAGATGCGCAGAACTGAGCTGAATGCAACTCTTCAATAAAATATAAGCTGAGAAATATGCTGGAAATGCAGAAAACATTTGATGTAGCTGATGCAAGATTTTCTTTCAAGCCACTTCAGCTACTCTGAATCATGTAGTAGCCAAACAACTAGACTGATCTTGCCCTTGGTACCACATGAAATAAGAAATGCAAAATGAATGTGTTCTTTATCCTTAGGAGTCTCCATATGTGATGCTGAAGAAGAACCATGAGCAGCTCGTGGGTAATGACAAATATGAAGGTTATTGCGTGGAGCTGGCTGCAGAGATCGCCAAGCACGTGGGCTATTCCTACAGACTAGAAATAGTGGGGGACAGAAAGTATGGAGCCAGAGACTCCGAGACAATGATGTGGAATGGGATGGTTGGAGAACTAGTGTATGGCGTAAGTAGCTATTATCTGTGAATGTTATCAAGTTTTGTGTTGTAAGGATTGATTGATTGATTTATTGTAGTCTTTCCACTATTCCCTTTTTATTTTATTTTATTTAAATGGGCATATTAACTTCTTGTATCTCTAGTGTACATTAACAGTCACTTTAGCTTCAAGCTGCATTTCCTTCATTCCTTGTGGGTCCGGTCTGTAACAGTGACAAAAATCTTTTCTGAAATAAGTTGCAAAGTGCTGACAAAGTTTGCCGCAGAACAGAGAACAGGACACAGTGTGTCCAAACCTCAACAAGCCTCAGGTTGAATAAATGTTTTTTTGTCTCTTATCACTTATAAAGTAGATTTTCCCTACTGTCAGAGCATGTTAGTGCAATGCCTGACTTTCTGGCAATTTTGCAACATAACAAAGAGTCCTAACGAAGGCCAATTAGCAAGATAGAATTCATAATAGCAAAACTAAGGTGCATGTGAGGTTGGCTTTTGTACACACTCAGTTTCTTATTCTGAGCATTTTTACCCTGAGGCTGCAGCATTAGTGGCTTTGGAATGCTAAGCAGTGTCAGATGTAGTCTGTCTTCATTGGGCTAAACGCGAACACCACAGCTCAGTGTTGTCAAGCGGTGTTCGTTAGATTTCTCTTCTGCTTGAAAAAAATGAGGCATTATTATGATGCATAGAGAGCAATAGCGTATGAGGGATTCTCTTGAGGATGCAGCATTGAGTAGAACTGACTCTGTAGTGATTCATAATACTTGAAGTTATTTATATGTTCAACTGCTTCTAAAATGGTGGATAAAACTTTTTGTTGATTTGCACTTGATTTGTAATTCCAGTGAGTTCTGAAAACCTACAGAGGATCTGCCTTGTTGTATGCAAACTGGATCTCAAAGCTTTGTAAAACATATTCTGAATGTTTGATTGCGTCTCTCTGAGAAGCTGTTGAAAACATGATTGTCACTCTGCCTCTGCTTAATGATGTAATCATATTGTCTTGTAGAAAGCAGATGTAGCTGTCGCCCCCCTCACCATCACTTTGGTCAGAGAGGAGGTCATCGATTTCTCCAAGCCCTTCATGAGCTTAGGTATATCCATCATGATCAAGAAGCCCACAAAGTCCAAACCAGGTGTCTTCTCCTTCTTGGACCCACTGGCGTACGAGATCTGGATGTGCATTGTGTTTGCCTACATTGGCGTGAGTGTGGTGCTGTTTCTGGTGAGTCGTTTCAGTCCGTATGAGTGGCACGCAGATGATGAAGAGGATGGAATGGAGCAACAAACCCAGGACCAGAACCAACCACCTTCACCAGAGCCCAACCAGTCACCAAACCAGCATGGTCAGAGTCAGAATCAGCGAGAGGAGAAGCAACCTGAACACACCAATGAGTTTGGGATCTTCAATAGCCTGTGGTTTTCCCTGGGAGCCTTTATGCAGCAAGGATGTGATATCTCACCAAGGTAGGTGGAAATGAAAAAAAAGCCATTTTCATCATCATTATCATATTTTTTTAATCTTCCACTGCAGCTTTTTCGTTTGACTGACTCATATTCCACAAACAACATCTGTGATGGAGAAAATGGGTTGTAAAATAAAGATGATCTTCTTAATCGTCTGCTGCATTACACCATCCCTGAACTACATCTGAAATGCAGATCATGTTGAAATAAGATGATTCAGAATATATTAAGAAAGGCAGAGGGAGATTTAATTTGAAGAGAAGGTAAAGATTAGATTAATGATTGATTTTTATGACCAAAAGAGATACAGTTTTATTGCCTGATTACCTACATGTGGAACCAATTATAGTATATATGTGACCCTGGACCACAAAACCAGTCATAAGTGTCAATTTTTCAAAATTGAGATTTGTATAGCATCTGAAAGCTGAATAAATAAGCAAGCTTTGCATTGATGTATGGTTTGTTAGGATAGGATAATATTTGGCCGAGATACAACTATTTGAAAATCTGGAATCTGAGGGTGCAAAAAATCCAAATATTGAGAAAATCGCCTTTAAAGTTGTCCAAATGAAGTTCTTAGCCATGCATATTACTAATCAAAAATTAAGTTTTAATATATTTATGGTAGGAAATTTACAAAATATCTTAATAGAACATGATATTTACTTAATATCCTAATGATTTTTGGCATAAAAGAAAAATCGATAATTTTGACCCATACAATGTATTTTTGGCTATTGCTACAAATATACCACAGCGACTTGAGACTGATTTTGTGGTCCAGGGTCACATATATATATATTTTACCATTTCAGCTTTTTGACACAATACCTGCTTGATCATTGGACTACAACAATAATATATAACTTTATATATAAAATGTTAAAATAGAAAAGTTATTTTAAATTGTAATAATATTTTACAATATTGCTGTTTTTACTGTATTGTTGATCAAATAAATGTAGCCTTGGAAAGCATAAAAGAGTTCTTTCAGAAACGTTAAGAGATCTTAATGATTCCAGAATTTTGATGATATAATATAATTAGGGCTGTCAGTTTAACGTAATTAATTTAGTTATAAAAAAAATGTGATTAAAATATTTTAACTTAACGCACTGGCCCCGCCCCAGACTTGTATGTCATCTCACATCTCATAAATATGTTGCAGGGTAACAACTACATAAATGCAGTTATGCCCTAAAATGCAAGATATTTGGACAAAAAATGCCCCTGTATGAGTTGTCTCATATTTATATCACACGAGCAGCGAGAGCAATATCACACGAGTGGTCTTTTTGTCCTGAACACCTGAGTTTAAATGTCATTTTATACAACAGTTCAGTAAATAAGAGATTTAATATTGTGTTATATTTTAAACAAATACCTATAAAGCCACCGCAGAACAGTTGTGTTTAATTTCTGAATGAATCCTCATTTTGAATGAATCGTGTGAACCAATGATTCAAATGCCCATTCATAAAGAGAGCTGTTTATGAATCAGCCATTTGAACGAATCAAATGAATGAATAACTCATAAAGACATCTGTCACCTGCTGGCAGTATTAGTTTCCCCTTTAAAGTATAATTTCATTTATTTAAAAAAGAATAAATAAAAGTAAATAAAATAAAATATTAAAGGGATAGTTCACCAAAAAAAAAAAATTCTGTCATTTACTCACCCTCATGTCGTTTCAAAACTGAATGACTGACTTACTTTTGCGCAACACAAAAGGTATTTTGAAGACTGTTGGTAACAAAAGGAATGTTTCTCAAATTATCTTCTTTTATGTTCCATAGTTTATGTTAGGCCGTTGTAGCATATACGTTTATGTGTAATAAATTTTTTTGAATCAAATAAAATATTTCTTTCTAAAGCTACTATTTGCAATGTCTACTTGATACTTTCTCATTTAACTCAATAATAGCTTTAAATATCCTTGTGGGTATTTTCACAGCCAAATTTAGTTTGTGATTAATTAGATTAATTATTCGCCGCACCATGTAATTAATTAGATTAAAAATTGTAATCGACTGACAGCCCTAAATATAATATAATATAATATAATTATCATTTATGACTTCATTGTTGTTATCTGCACCATTATATTTATGCAAAATTGTTTTTTTATTTAAATGTATACAGTGGGGCAAAAAAGTATTTAGTCAGCCACCAATTGTGCAAGTTCTCCCACTTAAAAAGATGAGAGAGGCCTGTAATTTTCATCATAGGTATACCTCAACTATGAGAAACAAAATGAGAAAAAAAAAATCCAGAAAATCACATTGTAGGATTTTTAAAGAATTAATTGGTAAAGTCCTCGGTAAAATAAGTATTTGGTCACCTACAAACAAGCAAGATTTCTGGCTCTCACAGACCTGTAACTTCTTATTTAAGAGGCTCCTCTGTCCTCCACTCGTTACCTGTATTAATGGCATCTGTTTGAACTCATTATCAGTATAAAAGACACCTGTCCAAAACCTCAAACAGTCACAATTGCATATATTGCAAACATGTTTTTATATTTGTTTTAGGCTGTATAATTCTTTAGCTACACATTTAAAATTTTATTTGATCCCATCTTTTTGACTGCACTGACTGACGCTTGTTCACATAATTTTTTGTCGCTAGCATTAGTCATGATGGAAGTGTAACTATAGGTTAGGCTAGTGTTGACACCCCTGATAGGGTCCTCTAGCCTCATTATGTGCAGATTGGCCTTGAGCCTCTGGGTGTGCAGGCTCCTCTGCTAGTGTTTGACATTTTGGTTGGACATGTATATCCTTGGCTTGAGGGAATAAAGCAACACAATCAAATTAGATTACACTGCCAGAAAGCGTTCCATGACAGATGTGATTGTCTGCACCAGAGCACTCAGCCTGACTGTGTTTCTCCATGCTAGCTGTGGACTTCCGTGGAAAACTCCATCACCTCACTCCTTTGAGCTAAAGGAGGAATGCTGAAGTTCTGGGCAGACATGAGGCGAAATCATTAGAAACTCCTTGATAGCGCTCTGTGTGTGAGGGAGGTCAGTTGGATTTCATGTTTGTGAAGTCCTAGATTAAACTGACATGGTGCTGAATCATCATGTTCTTTTTACCTAAGGCCTTCAGACAGTGAGAGGGAAACGCGTCTGGTCTTTCATGGCTTCCAAGAGTGTATTTTATAGAGTAAAGTTTTTTTTTTTAAGTGATCAGGATTAAAGATTATTAATTCTTAAAAAGAATTATAAAACATAATAATACAAAATAGTAACTAAATCATTAGGCTACAATAAAACAACTTAATATACAATAATAATAATATAAAACTTCTTATAACTTCTTAAAACTTCTTTTATATATATATATATATATATATATATATATACATACAGTGCCTTGCGAAAGTATTCATACCCTGCCCTTTATTTTTTCACATTTTATGTTGCTGCCTCATGTTAAACTGCTTTAAATTACTTTTTTCCCACATCTATCTACACTCCATACACCATATTGACAAAGCAAAAACAGAACTGTCACAACTTCGTAAATTTATTAAAAATAAAAAAACTGAAATGAGTACATTGCATAAGTTTAACTAAATATTTAGCTGAAGCATCTTTACAGTCTCGAGACTTTTTTGTTTGATGCGACAAGCTTTTCTCATCATCATTTGGCAATTATCTGCCATTCTTCTCACCTCTTTACCTCTCAAGCTCTGTCAGGTTGGATGGGAGCAGACGCACATTTTCAGGTTTCTCCAGAAATATTTGATTGGGTTCAATCCCAGGCTGTGGCTGGGCCACTCAAGGACATTCACAGAGTTGTCTATTAGCCACTCTTGCTGTGTGCTTAGGGTCATTGTCATGTTGGAAGGTGAACCTTCTGCCCAGTCTGAGGTTCTGAATGCTCTGGATTAGGTTTTCATTAAGGCTATCTCTATATCTTGATACACAGCATGAGGCTGCTACCAGCCCATTTACTTTTGGGATGGTACTCTGCAGGTGATGAGCAGTGCCTGGTTTCCTTCAAATATGATGCTTAGAATTGAGGTCCATCAGACCAGAGACTCTTGTTTCTCAGAGTCTGAGGGTACTTTAGGTGCTTTTTTGCTAATTCCAAGTGTGTTTTCATGTGTCTTCACTGAGGAGAGGATTGAGTTTGGCCACACCGCCATAAAGCCCAGATCGGTGGAATGTTGCAGTGATGTTTGTCCTTCTGTAGGTTTCTCCCATCTGGATATATGATCATGGAGCTCAACTAGAGTGACCATCAGCTTCTTGGTCACCACTCAAACCAAAGCTCTTCTCCATCAATTGCTCAGTTTTGGTCAGGAGGCCAGCTCTAGGAAGAGTCCTGGTTATCTCAAACTTCTTCCATTAAGGGTAACCGAGACTACATGCTTCTATGAACCCTCAATGCATAAGAATTTTTTTCGATCTCTTCCCCAGATGTGTGGCTTGACACAAACCTGTTTCTGAGCTCTACAGGCAGTTGTTTTGACCTCAGGGCTTGGTTATGCATTATCATCTGTTAGACCTTTTATTAAGACATGTGTGTCTTTCCAAATCATACCCATTCAATTGAATTCGCCACAGGTTAACTTCACTCAAAATGTAGTAACATTTACAAGCAATATGAATGCTCCTGAGCTAAATTTCAACTGTCCCAGATAAGGGTATGAGTACTTATGCAATGGAATCATTTAAGCTTTTTTATTTTTAAAAAATTTGCAAAGATGTTAAAAAAGGTAATATATACAGTATATATATATATATATATGTCACGTTTATGTTCTGTTTAGATTTCCCTGTGTTTCTGTTCTTCCTGCCGGTAACCTAGTTTTCCTGTGTTCCCTGATTAGTTCATTAGTTTCCACCTGTGTTGATTAATCATCTCATTAATTTCTAGTTACATATATTATATATAGCAACCATTTAGATCAAGAAATAACTCTTTAATAAATATAACATCAATATAACATCAATATAATAATTATAAAATTATTAATAATATGA